ACCAAAAAAGATTCTGGTCACGGCTTGGTGGTCATCGGCTGGTGTGATCCACTATAACTTTTTATCACCAGGCCAAACCATCACAGCAGAACCCTACTGTGAAGAAATCGACGAATTGTACCGAAAATTTTGTCAGATGCAGCCAACACTTATCAAAAGAAAGGGTCCGATTCTTTTGCATGACAACGCCCGCCCACACGTTTCACAAATCACTATCCATAAATTGAACGAATTGGGGGTTGAAGTTCTACCTCAACCGCCATATTCTTCAGACCTTTCGCCAACGACTATCACCTTTTCAAACATTTTCAGAACTCCCTTGCTGGAAAATACTTCATCAATCAGGACCAGGCAAAAAAGCCTTCGTGGATTTCTCGACCACCCAGTTTTTTTTTTTTCTCGACTGCTGTCACATTGGCAAAAGTGTGCTGATTCGAATGGTGCTTATTTGGATTAAATCCGATGAGTGTTAAGAAAGTTATGATCGTTTAAAGTGAAACACTCGAAAACGTGCAGAACTTTCCGGACAACCTAATAGGACAACATGGTCTTTCCAATGACTATGTGAAGAAAAGAACTAGGCAAATATGAAATTCTCAGGCAGGGCTTATGAATGTCCTCGCTGAGACTGCGACATGGGGTATTGTGGTGTTTCAGCTGCAGAGCGCGTCTTGCCGTTGAACCATATTTTTGCAAAATGGCCCCACCCCTCTCAGGAATCCCTCCTCTGGTATAAGCCTCCCCTCCCTCCTTAGCCATGCTACCTACCATCTGCCAAGATTCTAACAGTTTCTCCCTTTTTCCGGAGTTTTTTTTCTTCCAAAGATGATCAGTTTTCCCACGAAAAACTGTGGTCGAGTGGGAAAGGAAGGCAGGAAGGGGTGGAGGTAAGGCGCACTCTGAACAGGAAAACCCGAATAACGTCAACGAAAATATTTTTAAGACAAAGATCCCCCCCCCCCCCTTCCGGCTTCTGAGCCCCAATGTACGAGACTCTGTTCGGTTTCCTGCCTTTTGGGTGTTTTATTCCTGTCCTTGGTGGTTTGAATGTTTGATGGTTGCATTCTGCTCCAAGCTATTGGTGTTTGGTGAGCTGGAGGAAGGGTTGAACACAGGGAATCGATGGGCTCACACAGTCGTTATCACTGACCTCATTCCAAGCGTTCAGCGTGAATTGGTTCTGATGCACGCGAGCTCATTTCCAGCTGAACACGTTGCTACTTTGGG